AAATGTCAACATTACATATACGATTTTACTCAAACTAAAGAATTTGAAATTTCTTTGGTTAAGTTTGCATTCTATAAGAGTTTGATGTTCTCATTCATTGGCATGGTTGCCAACTGTATAGATAACTATAACACTAGATATAGTCGTCACCAACAATATTTGAGACTCATTATAGAATAAGCCGCTTACCCCCCAAGGTGGTTCATGGGGCTTGCGGTAGAGATGCCATAAACAAATTTGCATTTCTTAGGACAGGCCTGTTTCAAAGGTTTGTAGGAAGAGATGGTCCGTAACAGAAATTTGTTTTTGGGCTTTCATCAAAAAAAAATAATAATTTTAATATTCAGTTACATTTTGAGATTGTTTCTTTACAAATCTGCATTATCACTTTAATATTAAATTAATATATTAATTCTCAAATGTTTGCCTGTAATAAATTAAAAGCTCACCACAAAAATTCCTGAATACGGCTCTTTTCTACATCTTCTGGGTAGTACCACACGCAGTGAAAAATTATTACGGTCGACCATAAAGCTGCTTAACCCTCAATAAAGCTTTGCATACGTCAATCCCAAATATTCCTGGTGACGACTATACCTGTTTTAACAAGAATATTACATAGACATATTAAAATTTTAACAATTTACTTCACACTATATGTATTTTGTTGACATTTTTGTAGACACTCTTGAAATAAGAAACATAGACTGAAAAACAGACGATTTTTATTTACTATAGCTAGAAATAGTATATTACAAATCGAGAGGAAAAGTGTTTTATTTTAGACTAAAAAACGAGGGTAATAGTAATAGAAATAGGTAATAGAAGGTGAATAATAAGGGACATTACATATACGGTTGTGAACAAAAGACATTAAAACCGAAGAATTTAAAATGTTTTTGATTAATTTGGCATTCTATAAGAGTTTGACGTTTTTAGTCATTGTTATGGTTGCCAACTGTGTAGATAATTATAACACTAGATACCAGCTTTAACGAGAATTTAGATAGACAAATTAATATTTAAAAAATTTAAATAGTACAAATGAAATAATGCGGGGCTCGCGACATAGCCGTTCCCCCCGTAAGAAACTGGCACTATATGTATTTTGTGGAAATTTTTGTGAAAACTTTTGAAATAAGAAAAATAGACTGAAAAACTAACCATTTTTAATTACTGTATCTAGAAATAGTATATTACGAATCGAGGTGAGAAGTGTTTTATTTTAGACTATAAAACAAGGGTAGTAATAGAAGTAGGTAATTGAAGGTCAATTCTCACCATTATCAAAGTAAAAAATGTCAATATTACATAAATGTTCAGTTAGCTAAGTTGTAATTACGATAATTTTGTGGTTTGAAAGCTTTTGTTTTACTTTTATAAAATAGGTGTCAATGCTTCTTATGTCACACAATATATGCATTATCGCTTTGCACAGAGGCGTTTCTCTTGTGACTTAATGAATACATACGCCCCATTATTCCAATTCAATTTAGTAAAGTTATTGGTAGTCGCTTGAAACATTTCAGCATTAAATTGTCGAGATATAGGGTTGAATGATGGAAGGCACGCATTGGAATGTGTAAGATAAACGCTTCACGCTCCGGAAATTGTTTCACACTATAGACGGCCGACCACCACCGGTGCGATGTGTTTCCTTCTATGATATACAAAATAGTTTTGTGATGTTAACAACATAAAAATAACTACAGCTCGAGTGAGTTTTGTTTCACATTTATGAAATGCCGCTGGCGTCGGATTGGAATTTTAAAAATTGACCAAACACTGCTTGTGCTTTGTCGATTTTTACAAAAGAATTTTTGATTAAATGCCAACATAGGAATTGGGTTGTATTAAGATTGATGGAGGGCGAATTATACTAATTTCTTAATTGGATCACCGACGTTCAAGGAGGAAAAGTAATTAGAATATAGCTGCAGGAAAGTAAGGAAACTTTTCCGCACTCGCCACAAATCGATTTCCGATTCAATCTCGTTTATTATTCGTCAACAATAAAGTATTGACTCTGTTACGACAATAAACTTTTCAGACGAGACAATACTGCCAACCTTATATAACTAACAAGCAGACATATGGATCTCTTTTATGCCGGCTATATAACAGAGAGAATTTCTATGACGCGTCGATGTATTGTAATATTGCAATATATTTTTTAAATTATTCTTGAAGAAGACAAAATATGCTGTTTAGTGTCTTACTTCTCTAAGAATAGCCGTATGTAATGTTGACATTTCTAACCTTGAAGATGGTTGGAAAGTGTCTCATTACCGATCTTCTAATATACAGGCTGACCCAAAGCTCCGTATTTCTTCGATTACTCTGGTAGTAAAAAAGATAATGAAACGCGGTTTCTTTTGGACGATAGACATTAATTTTTTCTATGGTCTAAAAATATGTTTGTCATTATAGGTAATTTCTATATAGGATGGCGCAACAAAGTTATATTTTTTCTTATATAACACCCGGTATATTATGCGCTTATTTGAAAGAGTTTTTAATTCTAAAAATATCCATATTAAGTTTTATGGACCGTTTATTATTTATGGGCAATTTTATGAAGAAAAAGTACCATTTTTGAAAAATCACAAAGGCTTTGTTAGAAAGAAAAGGTGAATAAAAACAATTTCAACTATTTTTTCTGGGTCTGGTCCTAAATTATTATGGTTGAAATTCGATCCATTTTTTGCAACTACTGCAACTACTGTTGACATTCGCAAATTATCAAGTGACTTAATTTTTTCTAATGAAACACCCTGTATGTTATTACTTTATCGTGTAGAGCTTTTAATAAGCTTTCTAAAAAACCTAGGGTTTGTAGGTCTAAACTTTACCTGTTTTATTATACACCCTTTAAACCTACAAAATTTTAACTTATCCTATTTAGCCTTGAAAATCAAGTAGGTTTGCGTTATTTCCTCTTCTAGAAAGTTAATTTTTTAAAGTTACGTTATCATCATACATGAATCAAGTTTGATAGAGAATGTAGAATGGAGCTCTTGTTCTATTTGGTCGCATTGTGCGACTATTTTTAGCAACAGATTTCCTAATTGATAGATTGGGAGGGGAGAACTATTGTCTGGCCACTACGATCTCCAGATTTGACTACAATTGATTTCTTTTTATCGGGGTGTGTTGAAGAGAAGGTGTATCAAACAAGACTCACTACTCCAAATGACATGAAGGAAAGAATAATTGAAGCCTTTAATGACATCTCTGTTGAAATGCTGAGAACAATCAAACTTTTCTTTATGCGTAGACTAGACGTCTGTCTGACGAGGAATGGCAGGATTTTTAAATATTTGCAACAAAATTAATTAAATTTTGAAATTTTTATAATTAAGGTCTTGCATTGAATTCAAATTCCAATTAGCGTTTCTTGAGTTTTACTCAGTATTTCAATAAACAACCTGTTTTCGTAATTGATGTATGGTGACAACGTAACTTTAAGAAATTATACAATTTTTTTAGAAGAGGAAGTAAAGCAAACCCACTTGATTATTAACGCTAAATAAAATAATTTAAAATTTTGTAGGTTCAAAAAGGTGTACAATAATACAGGTAAGGTTTAGACCACTAAACCCTAGTTTTTTTAGAAAGCTTATTAAAAGCTCTACACAATAATAAAATAACATACAGGGTGTTTCATTAAAAAAAAATCAAGATAATTGATATTTTGCGAATGTCAACGCTCTGCAGTAGTTGCAAAAGATTGATTGAATTTCTACCATAATAATTTAGGACCAGACTCAGTAAAAATGGTTGCAATTGTTTTTATTCACTTTTTCTTTCTAGCAAAGCCGTTGCGATTTTTTAAAAATGGTACTTTTTTTCATAAAATTGCCCATAAATGATAAACGGTCCGTGATAGACCCATAAAACTTAATATGAATATTCTTAGAATTAAAAACTCTTTCAAATAAGCGCATAATACACCGGGTGTTATATAAGAAAAAATATAACTTTGTTGCGCCATCCTATATAAAAGTTACCTATAATGACGAAAATATTTTTAGACCATAGAGAAAATTAATGTCTATCGTCCAAAAGCAACCGCGTTTCGTAATCGAAGTAATCGAAGAAATACGGAGCTCTGGGACAGCCTGGATAATGCTTGTCAACATATTGTGAATAAAAGACACTAAAATTGAAGAATTTGAAATTTTTTTGATTAATTTTGCATTCTATAAAATTTGACGGTTTGAGTCATTAGCATGGTTGCCAACTGTGTATATAATTATAACACTAGTTACCTGCTTTAACTAGAATTTTACATAGACATATTGAAATTTTGAAAATTTAAATAGCACAAATGTCGCACTATACGTATTTTGCGGAAATCTTTGTGGAAATTCTTGAAATAAGAAAAATAGACTGAAAAACTGTCGATTTTCATTTCTTGCTTTATAAAAATATACTGAATAGAAAAGACACGATATACTGTTTAGTGTCTTATTCTCTAAGAATAGACAATTTTATTTGCAGCCGTATATAATGTTGACATTTCTAAACTTGAAGATGGTGTCTTGTTACTGACTTTCTATTATATTATACTTGTTTTTTCACAAAAATTAAAGATGGGGTGAATAAAGTTGTATACAAACCTCGCAGGAGGTTTCATTCCCACTTTAGTGTGTAATAGACTATTACCAATTTTTGATAAATTTCTTGATGACGAGATGAGAAAACTGTCGAAAAGCCCTTAAATCGATTCGTTCGATGACTCTTCACTTTTCTGTATCATTTTCTATAAAATATGCAGTTTCGAAGCTTGCCTTTTTGACGTTATCTGTTCAACAATCGTCCGAAATCTCCGGTTGAAACTTTGCATTTCCTCAATGCTGGCGTCCCGATGCATAATTCATAAAATTCGATGACGTCGTTTTATGATCGTCTGGATGCAAGTGTTCCAAATGCGCGCGCGCTCCGGCGTCGGGACGCTGGATAACAGAACAGAGGGACGTCCAGTGGGTTGGCGGCAGCAGACTGAGTGGCGTCTCGTTGCAAAGCTGCCGCCGCACGTGTATTTCTCTCAAATCCCACACAAAACCGAACCAAACGCACAAAAAATCAATCATATCGTAACGATTTTCTAAAAATTTTGTGTTCTCCGCCTTTTCTCTGTGACCAGGAAAAAAATTACAAGTGTAGTGTTGGTAATTATAAGTTTGTGTCGGGAAGTAATTTAACTTTTTCATCTGATCTGTGAGAAGAAACGCAATTTTCGAGCACTTGATACGAAAAAGACAGTTTTTTAGCAACGAAACTTAACACTAATTAGGACGAGATAAGAATAATTGAATTTTTGACGAGTTCCATTAAGGTTGGTAGGCGTGGTTAAAGTTTAAAACACTCTTTGACCTTAAAACGCGTTTTTGAATACGAATGAATGTCAATCAATCAAATTTAAATTTAGATTTTGTGCCAGAAGGCTGGAATTGATTTGGTATTAAATGAAAAATTGAATAATTTTAATTGGTTCGTTAGGCAACGTCAAATGCAAGAAACACGTCAAAAATAAGGTTAATAGAAAATGGTGGATGCGCCGGGATAACAATAAGAGCAACAGATGAGAAACCAATTTTTGATCAAATTACCTGAAACACAATTTGATAAATCTGAGTTCTCTGTTATCGGAAAACATCAACAAAGTTTGCTCCTTTATGTTAATCCGAGGCCCAAAACGCTAATAAATTCCCTTCTTTGGAGAAACAATCATCGATTTTTCTCCATAATTGAAAGACAGAGCTTAAAAGACAAAATTTACAAGATCTCACAGTACTGCAAATTGAAATTTGCTGATAAAAAGCCTCGTAAAAACAATCACAAAATTATAAGTGTTTCTCTATCTAGTCAAAACATAACGCTACAAAAAGCAAAATTTTGAACAATCTGAACAATTGCAACATGTATTTACACACAGATGGCCATTTAAGGTGTTAAAACCACTTGAAAACATAAAAAACAACATCTATTCTTTTAAATCGAAAGATTTTCAACAATTTAAATCATCACAAGCTGTGATTTAGTGGCAAATAAGTCAAAAACTCTTAAAAATTTGATTTTTTTAAACTAGTTGCTCCAAATTGGTCCAATGGTGCGACTTTTTCAACACTCTTGAAGTACTGTCGAGTTAAGCAAATCATATTTATAAAATTTACATTTGATGAGCATATTTCATGCCCAAGTTGAACGTAAAAAGGCTTTCTATTATGGCATGTCAGCGGGAGTTTCACTGATGAGTTTCATCGTTTTATGTGTTTGCGCATCTGCGACGACTAATGTTTAAAGAAAATTTGAAATTTCAATAAATGAAAATTAAATGTAGTAGAAAAAACATTGCATGAATTTTGGGAAATCTTGGAATTTATTCAAACTCAGCTTTCCCATTTGAATAATACGAAAACTGCTTTTAAATGTGAATGAAAATTGCATAAACGTCTCGTAAAAAGTGAAATACCATGTTTGAGATTTTCCTTCGTTGGAATTGAAACATCGTGTTGTTAACTATGTATTTCAATCAATAGAGTTACTAACTAGTCAATGTGAAAGTTTCGTTTTTATTTAGTAAAGTGTCAAACGAGACTTTTCAAAACATCGTGTTGCAGAAGATTAAGAAAGTGTCAAAAAATACCAGCTTAAAAAATACTAGACTTGCAAAAAAACATTTAAAAATTCCTTAAAGAAATGCTTGAATTTAAAAAATGTCAATCGAGACTTTTTTAATTGAAACATCGTGTTTCCAACTATTTGTTTCAAACAATAGAGCCACTAATTAACTCTTTCTATTAACTTAACCTTTTCTATAACATGATTTAAAATGCAAGAATAGCACTTGAGGAAAGCTATTCTTTCGTTCTATTTGACTAAATAAAATTGTGTGTGCAAATATTTGTAGGTAGAGCCAGCGCTTAATACTGTTGACTCTTGAGTTGAAAAACTGAGCGATTTCAGCCAATTAGGAGCGGTTATAATAAAATGCAACGCTGCAGGTGATACTCATTGTTACTAGTTGCCATAGAGCTTAGAAGATTCCGACACAGCACCCGAATTGTATGATTATGTGGAAATACGGGTCTGGTAGTAAGCTCCGTGAACGTACTACGAAACGTTATCGACCCACATCCAGACTGGAAGAGTCTACTGGAAACATTCGCGAACAGGGTTGGACTGAATTTGTGGCGCGATTCGATTGGATTATTTTTTATATTAACTTAATTGCACCTCTTATATGTGTTGAGAGGCAAAGGTTGAGACATTGCCCCGCCATACGGGTTAGTAACATCGCACTACTTTTTTTGTTCAATTTGATATTTTTATTTTTATTTACTTTTTGATGCGTTGGGTAAGCTCAATGTCTATTCTTTCTGAAATAATAATAACAAATAGTTTTTGCTTTAAATATTAAAACTGCAATCTTCAAGCTGCGCTAAATCACACAAACAGGGCTTTAAAGCGTCAGATTTTGTCTTGGGTTTAATGTAAAAGACTAATTTATCAACGCAAAGAGAAATGTTTTCATTAGTAACAACAAAAATAAAAGAAATTTAAAATTATGAGCAATCAACAGATGACAAATCAATGTTTGTTTGAGTTATCTGAGTCATAACTCGATAAAACCGAATTCTCCCTTTATATGAACAAAGTTTATGTTAATCAAGGACTCACAACATTTGCTAAAAAACAAAATTTGAACTAAAAATGTAATTTATTCACAAATGGTCATTTAAGACGTCAAAAATATTAAGAAAATGGTAGGTTTTTTATTTTTTAAAACAATGATCAACATCTTATTTCTTTGAAAATACGTTTCTGAAATATTGCATGGTTACATAATTAAACATTCACAATTTCTAGAATCCTAAGATTTTTACTCGTAAATTTCAGATTTTTATTATTCCAGATGTCTAATAATATTTTTTTTATTTAAGACTTTAAGAGTTAAGAAATACAATTTCTAAAATTGAATTCTGTTTTTACATTTCTACATTTTGAATTGTTTTTAAAGCTCCGAGAATTAAATAGTATATTTAATACTATATTAAAAAAATTAAGTTTAAAAGACGACTTGACTTAAAACTACTGTCTCCCCCCACACCTGTGTTATAAATTGCTAATTTTTCATACGTCTGGCTCAAATTTCGTGTAATCTGCCTCCCATATTCGTAATGAACGCACATTCGTCTCTGTCTTTTATTATTTATGCGTATTTTGGGGTAACCTTGTCTCCATTTAGCAAATTGGCGCAGTCGGTAGGTTAAATTAAATTCCACTCCATATCAAATTTAAAAAGTTGAGGCACTTTAAGGAATTGTCTTGGTGTGAAATGGAGAAAAACAAGTTCCGGCATATATTTTTTCGATCACTCAACAAATTTTCTAATGTTATTTGAGATTTGCGAGAGTTTCGTGTACGTGACTGAACTTTTTACACTAATCGTGATAGTTTGGTAGCAAGAAGGCCTCTTCCATTGTCGATTTTTCTTTGTTATGTTACTCCTGTCACGGACAATTTCAGCGTTTTGAAGAGAAGTGGAGATGACTTTACGTTTGTGAAATTTTCATAACAAAGGAAAATTTTGTTATATTCACAGTAACGTGTTAAAAAACGTGAATTTAGTGACCGTTGTGTAAATATTTGACGGACACTGCACTTCAACTATTTCACAATTACCTTTAGGAAGATAAATGGCCACGTTCTTTTGTTAAATGGAACGTCGAGTTAGACAGTTTAATTGAATTAAAAAAAAATTAAATAAAATAAAACTCGCTTTATTGATGTTGTGATAAAAACAAAGTGCAGTTTTAATTAAACCAAAATTTGATCTTCAATTAAGTTGTAAAAGTCGTCCAATATCTTGAAACTTTATTAATTGCTCTTTTTGCAAATCGATTGGGAGTACCGTTAGGGATGAAATAATTGGTTTGAATCGTGATGTTTTCAATGCTTTTGATCGATTTAAATTCGGGATAGTGCGACACGACATTTCAATTAGGAGCCAAAAATATTTCACTTGTCACTTTTCTTTAGTTTGGTGTAACTACGCAATAAAACAGGCCATTGGAGTATTATTAATGTTTGTATGAATTAAATAATTTCTGGATTTAGGGATGATTAATGTTATGACAAGTTTCCAAGTGTTTTAATCAGTTGAAATCTAATTTGTCTTGCGTGGTTTCAAAGTCTGCGACATTACCCCACCATAAAGATTGTCGCATCAAGACTGATAACACACCAGTTTTATATTTTTTCTAGTTTAAAGACAGTATTTCTGAAACCTTTTGACATAAATTGACTTTATTTTCAGATGTGTGTCGAGGTCGCGCCGGAAAAACCCGTCGTCAAGTGAAGAAAATCGAATATTTTCATCATGAACCGAGACGAGGTTCATCTTCGCGATCGTCTGTTACTTCTCGCGGAATGTTCGAATCCGCACAAACCGTTCAACGTGAAACGGAAAACGACACTTACGAAACAGGGTTCGAAAAGTGGACCGAAATTAAGCGTCCAGGATTTCGTGAGGATGGATCCTGGATATACGCCGGATATCGAGCACCTGGTCTTCCCCGCGAGAAAAAGAAATCCACAACAGGTGGCACCGATTAGTACGACGGGGAAGGCCAGGAGTAGATTGGCGGAAATGTTTGCGTTGAGCAGGCATCTGCAGCAGAGGAGCACGGATAGGGACACGAAAACGAGGAATCCCACGGTCAATGTAAGCAAAAATGGGTAATGGGACACTAAATTAGTGGTATAATATCACTTTTCAACACTCGCGGCACAGCCGTCTCCCCTCGTGGAGGAATTTTCAATACTCAAATGTGTGTTTTACTAGTCTTCTCAGCTTTACAGACAAAAATATATGTTTTTTAGAGATTTTATCTTTTGTTGTGCTTAACATAATCAATCGAGTACATAAAAATATTATTTCAGCACCCAAATGAGTGTTTTATTAATCTCAAGTATGCGAAATATGATTTTTTAGGAATTTTGCTTTTCATAGTTTTTACAAGCAAAAGCAAGTGTTTAAATCATTTGTTTCGACACCCAAATGAGTGTCCAAAAGTGTTTTAACAGAGTTTTAAAAAGACAAAGTAAAAATTTTGCGTTTTAACAAAAGTCTTCAAATGAGTGCTTAAAAAGATTATTTTAGCATTCAAATTAGTGTTTTAGAAGTCTGTCTCATATTAAACATGCAAAATGTAAGATTTTGAAACAGTTTTGACTTTAACTACTCAGAGGACAAAACCAGTATTGAATTCTGTCATTACGACTCCGAAATTAGTGTTTTAATAGCTTATTACATTGGAAAATTTTGAAACTTTTTACAATAGAAATTCTGTGTTTAGCATAATTTTGAATTCATTCTTTAAGTCTAAGTAAAGGTTTGAGTTATCTTAAATACTGATTTTACAGATTTTGTTTTAGTTTTTTATTCAACTTTTTACAACAGAAATTCTGGGTTTAGAAGGCATAATTTTGACAGACTCTGGATTTAAAAGGTCAAATTCTGAGATTATGAATCAAAATTTTAAATCATAATACATATTAAAAAAAAATTCTAAAATTAAAAAAACGGAATTCCGAGTTTAGATTAATTCATTTTATTTTAATTTCTTTATTTATTGCTGAAATTTTGAGTTTAGAAGGTATAATTTCCAGATGAAAATACAGAATTTTGAATGCAGGTGAAACTCTAAGTTAAAGTAGAATGCAAGTTGTAAAAAATTCTCAAAATAAATATTTTAGTTTTAGTGTTTTTAGTGTTTTATTGTATTTAAATCATTTGTTTCGACACCCAAATGAGTGTCCAAAAGTGTTTTAACAGAGTTTTAAAAAGACAAAGTAAAAATTTTGTGTTTTAACAAAAGTCTTCAAAAAGATTATTTTAGCATTCAAATTAGTGTTTTAGAAGTCTGTCTCATATTAAATATGCGAAATGTAATATTTTGAAACAGTTTTGACTTTAACTACTCAGAGGACAACACCAGTATTGAATTTTGTCATTACGACTCCGAAATGAGTGTTTTAATAGTTTATTACATTGGAAAATTTTGAGACTTTCTACCGAAGTTTGTATACAATTTTATTCACGAGCGTATTTTTAATGTTCGTAAAAAAAGTAAAAAAGAGATGTTTCTAATTGTGACAAGACTGGGACTAGAAAACGAGGGTAGTAATAGAGGTAGGTAATAGAAGGTTTGTAATGAGACATTTTCCAACGTAACTAAGGTTAGAAATGTCAACATTACATATACGATTGTGAATAAAAGACATTAAAACTAAAGAATTTGAAATTTTTGTGATTAATTTTGCATTCTATAAGAGTTTGACGTTTTGGGTCATTGGCACGGTTGCCAACTGTGTAGATATAACACTAGATACCTGCTTTAACGAGAATTTTTCATAGACGCATTAAAATTTTAAGATTTTAATTAATAATAATTAATTAAAAATAAATAGCATAAGTGAAATAATGGGGGGGGGCTAGCGACGTTGCCGCTTTCTCACTATCGAATTCGACAATTTATTGTAACTTACAGGCATATTGGTATTATTTTTGTAATTGAACATCCGATATGATTTCAGTAATACTTTGAGTACTGAGTGACTTATTTGAACACTGAAATGAGTGTTGAAATGGCAATTTTTTTCTACGATATCGATATAGCTCAAATGGCTATTATAGCAACTGTTTAGATAAGGACTTTTGAAGGGAATACAAGTCAATCAACAAGTTTCAAGTTTTCACCGATTCCCAACCCCCTTTATCTTGGTCTATTTTGCCAGGAACAATTCGAAATAATTTCGATTTGGTTGACAAGTGAGAAACTACCCCAACTGATACCTGAAACTTTGTTTCTAATGTTCGGTAATCAATTTATTGACATTCTGTGTCATATTAAATCCCACCTTGTACAGTTTTGGGCTTAACTATTTAAAATATGATTTATTACTTCATTATAGGCTGGGATTTTGATTATGTATCGATTTTTTTACCTGTCGGTGAACACAGAATCCATTATTTACATAAAAGGCGAGATTAATGATCGTTTTTCCTCCCTACAAATCATATTTATATAATTTACAACCAAGGGTCGAAAATGCTATAAGCAGCAATTCGAATGTCAGTGATTTAATTTGATTTCGGTGAAGGAATTGAAGCAATTAGATTTTCGCTTGGAAATAATTGAAAAATAAGACGACTTTTGGGTGAAATTAATTTTTCTTCATTGTGCAAAGGTGAAATGAGGCGTGAAGGGTGCGCTGAAAGGCCAACTATAAATAATTCGACTTTGACCTTTTTTAGAGTTTTTTTTATTGGATCAATAACGAAAGTTTTTGGTGGAAATATGTGTCAAACACAATTTGTTTATTGCATTCAATGTAATTTGGTGCAATTATATGAGTTTTCTTCCAAATCCGTGGAGACTTTATTAAATTTACGCTGTAAAAACGTGGATTCAAAACGATACCCCGAGGAAATATAACTTTACGGTTCGTTAAAAAAATGCGTAAGGATGGAATTTTTTTTATTTTTTTCTTCAAATGCATAGTAAAATTGCTTCAATTGACGTTTTAATAACGTCGCTTTCCTTAAAAGATAATAAATGTCGATTTTTCCGCATGAGAGCACTTGGCACTCACTTCAAAGTATTGTATTTGAAATGATGGATTTGCGCCTTCTTGAATGCTATTGAAATCGATGAGTTTTTAATTGAGTCAAATGCTGTTTACATCTTCATCATGTTTGATGTTTAACTATAAATAAACGGGAATGTGGTTAAGTGAACGTTTAATAAACGCGAGTTTGGTTCGAAAATAAAACTTTCCTATAATGTGTTTGGCTTAATTAAATTTCAACTAGACGTTTTATTTGTGTAAAACTAAGCGATTTAACGTATTAAAAATTGAAGGGAGGAAAAATGAAAGAATTCAAATAAAGTTGGTTTTTATTTTATAAATTTTTTCCAATGAAAATGAAAAATATGCAGTACATTGGTAACAAATATTTGAATAGCAATTTTAACACACCAATGAGCGAGCAGCAATGATATACAGGGTGCGCCAGAACTCGCGCCCCAGAGAAAAATGCTATATAAGGTAAGATACCAGGAACATGGAAAAAATGTTAAAAAATTTTATCTATAAAAATTTCTAGGTTATGAGGGTTTAAAGTTTGCACTTTGACACTATTTATTTCTGTTGGAAAAATAATTTTCCAAGTTTTTTTGCTATAGGCTATTAAAAGAGGAAACAAGGAAGCTGAATCCTAAATTGTAACTCTGTTCAATGTTATTTGTGGTTTTTATTGGCAAAATTTTTGTCCCTTTACTAAATAATTGTAAAAGAACATATACAAGATCATCAGTATCATTAAATAGATATAAAAAATGTCAAATGTCAAAAAATAAATGTTAAAATCTTTTGAATTTTTTAAACATTTTGTTCATGTTCCTGGTATCTTACCTTACATGAAAATTTTCTCTGGGGCGCGAGTTCTGGTGCCCCTGTATTTCGCCACACAAATTAGTGTGTGAAAAACTCAAAATTTGAATATTTTTGGGCAAACGACAAATTTTTGTATTAAAATTTGACATTTCTAGCAATTCTGAGTTCAGAAAGTATTATTTTGAGTTCTCAAATTCTGAGTTTAAAAGAAAAAACTTAAGTTATAAGAATAAATTTACAAGACAAAATATACTAAAATACAAGGTTTCGAATGCATTGAGATTGAAATTCTGAGTTTAGAAGGCATAATTTTGAGTTGAAAGTACAGAATTGTGAATGTAGAAGGTCAATATTTGAGTTTATGAAATGAAATATTAAGTTATGAGAATAAATATTTAGAATATTTTTTCCGGAATTAGATAAAACGGAATTCCAAGTTTAGAAAGCATAATTTTGAATTCAGTACATCATTCTTTAAGTCAAAGTGAAGGTTCGAGTTATCTAAAATATTGATTTTACAGATTTTATTTTAGTTTTTTATACATTACTAAAATTTTTACTACAACAGAAATTCTGTGTTTAGAAGGCATAATTTGAAAAGAAAAATACAAAATTTTGAATTCAAAAGGTCAAATTCCGAGATTATGAATCGAAATTTTAAGTTATAAAAATAAATATTTATTTAGATTTTTTTTTCGTAATTAAAAAAAACGGAATTCCCAGTTTTAGAAGAAATAATTTTTCATTTATTCTTAAAGTCTAAGTGAAGGTTATCTAAATACTTATTTTACGGATTTTATTTTAGTTCTTTATTCAACTTTTTACAATAGAAATTCTGTGTTTAGCATAATTTTGAATTCATTCTTTAAGTCTAAGTGAATTATTTTAATTTTTTGATTTTTGATTGAAATAATTTCTGCTAAAATTGAATTTCTGACTTAGAAGGCATAATTTTAAGTTAAAAGTGCAAAATTACGAATTCAGAAAATCAAAATTTGACTTTAAGGGTGAAATTTTTACTTATAAGAACGATTTTTTTTTATTTTATTAACACATATTTCCGAATTTAGAAGGTATAATTTTTTCCATAAAAATAAGATTTAAAATTTAGATAAAAAGACAAAAGTTGTGAGCTTTATGTACACATTTTCAATATTTTTAACAATTGGGCTTTTGAATCAATAAGTAAGTTTCTTAGCTTAAAGTCCGCTAGAAATGAAACAAATTAAAGCCAATAATTGGAAATATTTATTATTCACCACCACCAACGACGCCTTTAATGCGGTTCTAATGGATGCAATAAATTATTCTCTTTGATCCGACTTGTACCTGATTTACACCATCGTAAAAGCACTACAGCAGAGGCAAAATTTGTGTTTTTAGATTATTTTTCAACAAATTAAGAAAAAATATTTTTAGATATTTTCATGTCTTTATTATATGACATAGCGTGCAACATAAAAGCACTAAATTACTTAAAAGCAGCACTTGAAACTTTGCGAGCACATTTTTCAATATACTAAATTATTAAAAAACAGTTCAAAAGCATTTTATCTTAAAGATAAAATTTCAACTCGCTTCCAACTCCCAACTTCTGATCCCGAAACAATCAAGGATTAGTTATTGTGCTATTTCAAGTTGTACTGACTTGAAACGATCTCTGCATAGATTAAGAACGAGGAGAAGTCAATTTGAAAAAAAAAACATTTTTTCTTCTTTATTTCATAGAAATAACGGGATTCCGAGTTTGGAAGGCTTAATTTTCAGTTTAAGTCGTCATTTTTAAGTATGAGCTAATGATTTTTGTACTGATTTTATGTAATACATTACTGCGCGCGGCACGGCCGCAAGCCCCCTCTCAGAATTTGATTATTTGCTAATTTCAAACAAAATTTTTTTTTCTTCTTTTCTGAGAAAAATTTGAACAAGAATATTGTTTATCTGCAAACGTCACAAAAGTGACCACTTTTATGACTAAATGACACAGGTAAAAGTTTTACTTTTCAGACATGGAGTAAAAACACTGTTTTTACGCCTAGGCGTTTTTACTTTTACGTGACACTTACTTTGACATTTACCACTGTTGTCTCTTTCTTGTCCCTTTCGCTTTTTCAGCATTTTCTGGAGAGGTACAAGGTAGATTATCAGCATTCGACATTTTGCACTATAAACTACACCAGTTATTCACCAGTTAAATCAGTGAACACTTTCGAAATCTCAACACAAATTCCGAAACTGACGCGTGACGTTTGTTATGATTTTATTGCAAAGCGTCCTGATTGTTGAGGTGATTTACTTGATTATTGGTGTGTTGCTCTTTTCTCTCCATATGAATCGTTTGCAGATAAAATAGTATATGTTATTAGGAGTAAAAGTGAGTTTATGTGGCTCAGCTGAATCCAAATCCAAATTGAACATTCAGCTTCGCCACATAAACAATCACTTTTACTCCTAATAACATAATCTACTATTTTTCATTGCAGAGAAGTATCGATAGCGCCAGTGCACCGCCTCGGCCTTCCGACTCTCGAAGGTGGGTGTCCGGTTCAGAAGAACCGGTCAGAGGCAATTCCAATACCAGGATCAGTCCAGTCGCGGAGTCCGACATGGCCGCTGCGAGGTGAGTGCAAAAATTTCGGTGAAAATCCGGGGAAAAGCGTGCCGGAATGCGTGTTGGAAAATTAATTATTTGCTTTCGGATGTTTTCACTTGTTTGTCGAGTATTTTTTTTAATTCGTACGAACGGTTCAGAGAGATCCATTAAAAGTTTCTTTCGGAAAAGAATTAAGAAATGTTTTTGGTCGTCGGACGAGTTTTCCGAGCGGTTGTTTATTTTTCGTGAGGTGGTGAAACGAGCATCGAGTGATTGCATTATTTAGATTCATGAGGTCCCGTTTTTCCAGTTTTCTTTTAGTTTTAATTTAATTTTTTTGTGATTTTGTTAACAATTTAGCACATATTTGTCTCAAATTATTTGATTAAGATACTTTAAAATTTGGAATTCCAATTTATGAACTAGAATTCCATGTACAAATTCCAAATTTTTTGAGCTTTTTACGTAAAAATCTGTATTCAAAACTCAAAAATTGTAAACATAAGCTTGAAATCTTGCGTAATTCGTCTTCAAACTAAAACGTCAGGTTTAGAAGGCCTAATTTCGAGTTTAAATTTTACAGAATACTAAATTTAAAAGATCAAATTGTCTGTTTATCAACCGGAATTTTAAGTTATTACAACGAAATTTTTGAAGCAATTTAGGTTATTTAGGCAAATTCTAAATTTTATGTTTGTGGTTATTTAGAATGAATTAAAATGTTTATTTATTTTATTTTTTCTTTAATATTAAAAAAATTTTTAATTAAA